AATAAATAAAAATAAAACAAGAAATGTTAACAGGCAAGTGAACCACCATTAAAATCAACGTATAAAAACCAATATATATATTATAACAGCTAAAACTGGTCCGATTCAGATGATCTTTTTGTCAACAATTTTGTCAGAAATTTAATGACCTTTCAAAAAATAGGATCAGAAACGTTTAAATAGATCCGTTTAAAACCGGTAGGTGTATACGTGGTGAGCTAGCTCCCCAAAACAATATTCTTTTCTTTATAACTTTTTTTCTTGAATTGTCTCAAGAATTCACTAAAAATACGAAAATTTAAAAGACTTTAAGTAGAAAATTAAAAGAAAGTTTCATTAAAATCGTTAGACAGGAAAACAGAGCCGTATAATGTTAATTTTAAACTTCATAAAGCATAAATACATATGTTTATACAATTAATTGATTAATGTTTTTAGCACATATGTTCTATTCGCACGTAAAATAAATAAATGCAATTATTAGTAGTTTAATTTCTTAGGAGTTCGTGAGGGACATTCTTAATTTGTCACTCATTATTTCGGTTATGATTTCGTGAGGAGTAACCTCAGCAATAGCTTATTGTAGACTTTTTAAAATTTTCTTTTATTTAAACGCTTAGTTTTATTTTCAATACAACAATCTTCCAGAAAAAAAGTGGCCTACAAATATATTGAGCCGTTTGGCGTGACCTACACCCCCAACTATCAATTTTCAAAATAACGAGGTTATATAGGACAAACGACCCAATACTTTTGTAGCCTAACTTTTTTATCTATTGTGTGGTCAAACTATCTTACGATCTATGGAGAAATCAAATGTGTATTTACGAGTTTTAAGTACCTAATTAAATATTACCTACCGTTGATATAATTAATAGGGTTTTTGTTATAGTTAATCATTTGTTAGCTATTAGCTTTAAGCTGTAGTTGCGTTAAAAATGCACTTCGAATATTTTACAATAGACCAGTATTGCCAGGAAATTATGTATATTCAAAGTATTGGATAATGTGTTATGTACAAATATAATAATGTCTATCAATATTTGCATTATAATAAATACATATAGTTTTAGTACAAATTAAAGTACAAAATAATATATTTAATGCAGCAGCGTTTGCGTACATAACTATACTAAAGAGTAATACAATTATTTATTTTATTCATTGAAAGCCCTTAAATTTCTTTTTAATTAATTTAAACTTATGCTCTGTCATTATTTTATAGATTAAAACCAAATTCTAGATTCTAAAGCAGACATGGGAACCATATGGCTGGAGTTTTTATTATGTGTAAAAATTGAACATAATTATTGTGTAACGAACTAATATAATATTGAATATTTAAAATTTATTTGTTCATAATATAACCATTATCACATTGGTGTGTATCTTCCTAGAATTAACATTGTGGAGTTTTTTCTATGATGTGCTTGACCTCTAGAACATTTTGACATGTTTACAGCAGTTCCTAAAAGGAGGTTTTATGGCTCCATAAAAATTTAGTATGGGCCATATTGAGCCGTTTGGTAAAAGCTACACACCAACTTTCAATATTCAAAATAAAGAGGTTATATAAGAAAACGGCCCAATATTTTTGTAGGCGTCCTTTTTTATTAAATGATTAACTATCACAAAAACCCTATTAATTATATCAACGGTAGGTAATATTTAATTAGGTACTAAAAACTCGTAAATACACATTTGATTTCTACTTAGATCGTAAGATAATTTGATAAAAAAATAGATAAAAAAGGTGGCCTACAAAAATATTGGGCCGTTTTCCTATATAACCTCATTATTTTGAAAATTGAAAGTTGGGGGTGTAGCTTTTACCAAAATGGTCAAGAGGTCAAGCACATCAAAGAAAAAACACCGCAATGTTAATTCTAGGAATGTGATAATGGTTATATCATAAACAAATAAATTTTAAATATTCAATAATATATTAGTTCGTTACACAATAATTATGTTCAATTTTTACACATAATAAAAACTCCAGCCATATGTTGCACATGTCTGATTTGGAATCTAGAATTTGGTTTGAATCGATAGAATAATGAACGAACACAAATTTAAATTAATTAAAAAGAAATTTAAGGGCTTCAATGAATAAAATAAATAATTGTATTACTCTTTAGTATAGTTATGCACGCAAAATATTGCTGCATTAAATATATTATTTTGTATTTTAATTTGTATTAAAACTATATGTATTTATTATAATGCAAATATTGATAGACATTATTATATTTGTACATTATACATTATCCAATACTTTGAATAGAGATTATTTCCTGGCAATACTGGTCTATTGTAAAATATTCAAAGTGCATTTTTAACGCAACTACAGCTTAAAGCTTACAGCTAACAAATGATTAACTATAACAAAACGCTGTTAATTGTATCAACGGGAGGTACTATTTAATGAGTTACTAAAAATTCGTAAATACACTTTTGATTTCTACATAGATCGTAAGATAATTTGATCACAAAATAGATAAAAAAGGACGTAATTAAAAATATTGGGCTGGTTGTCCTATATAACCTCGTTATTGCGAAAATTTAGTGGTGTAGATCACGCCATACGGCTCAATATTTTTGAAGGCCACCTTTTTTCTGGAAAATCTTTGTATTGAAACTAAGCGTTTGAATAATAAAAAATCTGGTACATTATTTTCTGGCCATTTTTGTCTATTGTAAAATTCCAGGCATTAATACGTTTCTTGTTTCAATTGATTCTCTTTATGTTTCCTAATTATTTAATATTTTAAAAAGTTTTGTAATAAAAAAAGCTTGGTATTAAATTTTGTATAAAAATCAATTTTTGAACAAAAAAATAATTTCGAAACAGTTAAATGGCATAAAATACTGTCATTTTTTTAACCAAAAATTTAAGGAAGGTTCGTCCATTCCTTCCTCCATAAAAGTACCCCTTACCTAAAATATATTGTCAATAGGGGCGCCGGTGATTCGGGATCACCCAGACTTTCTCATGATCCCTATATATGGTTTAGTATTGTTCAATATAGCCTTACACGTGCAATTATATTGACACTATTTCAATGACATTAAAGAAGCTAATAAAAAAAAATATTAATACCAACCAGTTTAATTGTCCTCAATATAATAAATGCCAACGTAGTCCTTACACTGTCAACATATTAAGGAAACTTGATATTGACTCAATAATATTGACCGTGTAGAGCAAAAACTGACAGTGTACCAATACCTGACATCTTCCTCGAAAAATGGGATAAAACCAAACAAAGGATATAACATTTAGAGTTGAACATATAAAAAAAAAAAACCGGAGACCATATCTTTGCTCCTAATTGTCCGATTTTAACGATTTTTTTTTTCTTGGTTTTTAGGAAAATTTCTTAAACTTTTAAAAAAACAATATACAACATCCCCAAAAAAGTGTATACTTTTTGAGTTATTCGGAATTAAATTTTATCATCCCTCGTAATTTTTTTTCCAGTTTCTTTTCAAAGCTTGTTATATAGATAAATTTAAAGGGCGTAGAAAAAATTACTTTAGCGAAGTTTCATTGAAATCGCTACAGTCCAAAGCAATGCAGGTTTTTCGGCCACCATTTTGAAAGTAAATGGCGGATAATAATGTCGATGAAGGAGGATCATCCTCAAAATCGGTCCAGTAGTTTCGGAGAATATGCGCGCGGACGGCGGACGGACAAAAAAATGTTGTAATGTTATATTACTATATATATTCCATTATGCCAAAGAATTTAAGCTATTTTATTATCATTTATATTATTTCTCATTTTATTTTTCATATATTGTTAATAATGTTGTCAAAATAAAATTTCAATGTTGTAATAATATTAGCATTTGGTATTGGGTTAATAATACAATTTTGAATAATAGAGCTCATTAGAAAAAAGACAAAATGCTACAAATTTCACTCTCTTACAGTATACATATTAGATTTTTAGAATCTGAAATATTTTAATCCATATATTCAACTAACCTCATTATCATTTTGTTTTCGACATTATATTTTCCTATTCGCCTACCTCACCCGGTATCGTATTAAGATACAATTTTAATTATAGCTTATTACAGAGAGGATGAAATACTGAACAATGTCCTTACTTACAGTATGCAGGTTTTATTTTTACTTTCTGTAAAACCACATCTGACAATTCAATCTACTTCACACTCCGGAAAAAAGTAAAAAAAAAAAAAGTCTATAGAAGTTTTCACTTCAATAAATCTTGAACTAAGGGCACAATAGGAAGCGTGTTCTTAAAGGAAATCTGGATGATCAAAACATATAAGCAGTATTCATATCTACTATGTACCAATATTAATCATCAACCAATGCGAAGTTGAAGAAATGTGATATCCATAAAAAAGGTACCATCAGAAGTATATATTTTTTTAATTGGAGGGGTTGTTAGGAAATATAAATAGTTCTCACTTTGGTTTAAATAACTTATTTTTAAATAACACATGATCCTAACTAAACATTAAATTACTAGATATTTTAGAAATTCAAGGAGATGAAATAAACTTATATCAAATAAAATACGTATTTATTGTTATTTTCAATTAACAAGTATGTACACATATACAAATAATTTGATATTAAAACTTATAAACATATAATTGAAACATGAAACATATATTTTATTTAGATAAGTAGAAATACGAACAAAATAAATTTGAGTATAAAATAAAAAAAGAAATAATCACAAACATTTACTGGTATACTATATTTTCACAGGTCTTAATTAGTTCTTAAAGCACCCTTTGTCAAGTTCGAACACATATACATATAATTTGATATTAACACTTATAAACATAAAACATATATTTTATTTAGATAAGTAGAAATACGAACAAAATAAATTTGAGTATAAAATAAAATAAAAAAATAATCACAAACATTTACTGGTATATTATATTTTCACAGGTATTAATTAATTTTTAAAGCACCGTTTGTAAATTTCGAATACATATACTGAATTTGTTCCTCTATTCAGTTTTGATGACGTAATCAAGGGCCCATTTGTCGAATCGGGACAGGCGAATATTAGGAGGGTACATGTTGCAAAGGTATTTCGGTACTTTTGGAACAAACATGCGAGGTCGATGTACCCGTTGTCCGTAGTGTCCTTTAAATATCTTTGAGGTCCTGTCAGCTGATGTGGCTTTTCTCTTGGCAGAAGGATTTTCAATTCCGAGCCAAGATAGTACTATTAAAGATTTTTGACTTGGAGGATTACGGAAAAAATCTTTGATCAATATCTTAATGTTTGAAATGATCTTTAAAGTCACTATTTTAGCCCTATCCTCTTCATCCTTTTCTTTCTTTTTAAGAACATCTTCTAATATTTTGGTATATGTATGTGAAGCTCTAAGGAGATAAAGAAGTCTTATTCTAAAGTCCGTCAACTGGTCAGGCTTATAAAGAAAATAAGAAGGAGTTGAACGCATCATATGATGCATTGTATACAGAAGGCATTCCACAGACGGGAATTGCAGTCTCTTATAAGTGTCTTGTTCATCTTTAGCCGGAATAGGTAGAAACTGAGTCAAGACATCAAACACTTCATCTATCAAATCATCAATAAATTTCAAGTATATTATTTTGTACTTTAATTTGTATTAAAACTATATGTATTTATTATAATGCAAATATTGATAGACATTATTATATTTGTACATTATACATTATCCAATACTTTGAATAGACATTATTTCCTGGCAATACTGGTCTAGTGTAAAATATTCATTTTTAACGCAACTACAGCTTAAAGCTTATAGCTAACAAATGATTAACTATAACAAAAACCCTATTAAAACCTTTATTTTATTTATATAGATTTAAAAAAGTTTAGTAATTAATACACTTATTATTACATTTTTTTTAGAAATCAATTTTTGAACAAAAAATTAACTTCGAAACAGTTAAATGTCATAAAATACTGCCATTTTGTTTAAACTAAAATTTAAGATAGGTTCGTATATTCCTTCCTCCATAAAAGTACCCCTTTTCTCAAACATATTATCGAGAGGGGCACCGGAAATTGAGAATCACCCAGACTATCTCGTGATTCCTGTATATGGTTTAGTATTGTTCAATTTAGCCTTACCCACGCAATTATATGATTATACGAAATCATAACCAAAATAATGAGTGACAAATTAAGAATGTCCCTCACGGTGTAGAAAGATTTGTTCTAGATATAAAAAAATAGCTCGCAGACTGGAGTTTACGTGGTTTACACGAAAAAAGATGGATTAATGAGATTTTTATTGCCTACCTTTGATATAATTAATAGAGTTTTTCTTATAGTTAATAATTTTTTAACTATAATCTTTAAGCTGTTGTTCCGTTAAAAATAAACTTCAAACATTTTACAATAGGACCAACATTGCCAGAAAATAATTCAAAGTAGCGCGGTAAGTGAAAGTTGTGTATTGGGCGTACTAGATTTTTTTTTATTTAACTGCTAAGTTTTATTTTCAATAATACAATTTTCCATAAAAAAAGTGCCCTTCAAAAATATTGAGCCTTTTGGTAGAAGCTACACCCCCAACTTTCAATTTTCAAAATAACGAGGTTATATTGGAAAACGGCCCAATATTTTTTAGACCACCTATTTTATCAAATTATCTTACGATCTAAGTAAAAATCAAATGTGTATTTACGAGTTTTTAGTACCTAATTTCTCCTTTCAACATTGCAAAAACCCCTCGGAATGTGCCCCATTCTAAATTTTTATGGCGCCATAAAACCTCCTTTTAAGCACTGCTGTAAACATGTCATAGAGGTCAAGCACATCAAGGAAAAAACACCGCAATGTTAATTCTAGGAAGATACACACCAATGTGATAATGGTTATATCATAAACAAATAAGTTTTAAATATTCAATATTATATAAGTTCGTTACACAATAATTATGTTCAATTTTTACACATAATAAAAACTCCAGCCATATGGTGCACATGTTTGCTTTGGAATCTAGAATTTGGTTTGAATCGGTTGGAATAATGACAGAGCATAAGTTTAAATTAATTAAAAAGAAATTTAAGGCTTTCAATGAATAAAATAAATAATTGTATTACTCTTTAGTATAGTTATTATGTACATATGTATTATGTACAAATATAATAATGTCTATCAATATTTGCATTATAATAAATACATATAGTTTTAATACAAATTAAAGTACAAAATAATATATTTAATGCAGCAGTCGTTTGCGTACATAACTATACTAAAGAGTAATACAATTATTTATTTTATTCATTGAAAGCCCTTAAATTTCTTTTTAATTAATTTAAACTTATGCTCTGTCATTATTTTATAGATTAAAACCAAATTCTAGATTCTAAAGCAGACATGTGCACCATATGGCTGGAGTTTTTATTATGTGTAAAAATTGAACATAATTATTGTGTAACGAACTAATATAATATTGAATATTTAAAATTTATTTGTTTATGATATAACCATTATCACATTGGTGTGTATCTTCCTAGAATTAACATTGCGGAGTTTTTTCTATGATGTGCTTGACCTCTAGAACATTTTGACATGTTTACAGCAGTGCCTAAAAGGAGGTTTTATGGCTCCATAAAAATTTAGTATGGGCCATATTGAGCCGTTTGGTAAAAGCTACACACCAACTTTCAATATTCAAAATAAAGAGGTTATATAAGAAAACGGCCCAATATTTTTGTAGGCGTCCTTTTTTATTAAATGATTAACTATCACAAAAACCCTATTAATTATATCAACGGTAGGTAATATTTAATTAGGTACTAAAAACTCGTAAATACACATTTGATTTCTACTTAGATCGTAAGATAATTTGATAAAAAAATAGATAAAAAAGGTGGCCTACAAAAATATTGGGCCGTTTTCCTATATAACCTCATTATTTTGAAAATTGAAAGTTGGGGGTGTAGCTTTTACCAAAATGGTCAAGAGGTCAAGCACATCAAAGAAAAAACACCGCAATGTTAATTCTAGGAATGTGATAATGGTTATATCATAAACAAATAAATTTTAAATATTCAATAATATATTAGTTCGTTACACAATAATTATGTTCAATTTTTACACATAATAAAAACTCCAGCCATATGGTGCACATGTCTGATTTGGAATCTAGAATTTGGTTTGAATCGATAGAATAATGAACGAGCATAAATTTTTTTTTTTTTTTTTTTTTTTTTTATTTCTTTATGACATTTACAACTGTATTACATAAATACATCAAGTAAATTTGGACATAATTGATATAATGACATGAATACACTTGCTGAGTAACTACCCAATGGTAGCACTCTAATGATATGACTATATTAGGAGATCACGGGGCCATCTTCTTTTCAGACGCCTCGGAGGGTTATCAGGAATTGAAGAGGAAGCAAGGTTAGAAACGAGAGGGTTGGGATGATTCTGAAGTTTATTATGGAAGGATAGGTATCTGGATTGGGCCAGATCTGAAACATAAGGAACATTAAGATCTTTATGGATAATTTTATTAGTGACAAAGTAAGGAGCATTGAGGATTTTACGAAGGATTTTGGATTGTAAGGATTGGATGCGAGAGGAATTCGATGGTTTAGTGGAGCCCCATAGCTCAACTCCGTAAGTCCAAATAGGTCTTATTATAGTCAAGTATATAAGTCTTTTGTAATTAATGGGAAGTTTAGAGCGTTTGTCTAGTAAGTGCTGAAGTAATCGGAAACGTCGAGCGGTTTCTTGTCGTTTCAGTCTAGTATGAGGATTCCAAGTTAGTCGTTTGTCCAGGTGGAGTCCTAGGTATCGGATTTGCTCAACAGGGATAAGTGGAGTATTGTTAAAGGAAACTGTAGGACAGGAAGTCGTTGGTTTACGACGAAGGGTAAAGGTAATTTGGTGGGATTTATTGGAGTTTATTTTAATTCTCCAGTTTTGACACCATTCTTCTAGATTTATGATGTGTGATTGAAGCATTTGGGATGCAATTGCTGGGTCATTGTTTACTGATAGGATACATGTGTCATCGGCATATGTGGTGATGACAGTGTTGGGACAGGTAGGGATGTCAGCTGTATAAACTGTATAGAGGATAGGACCTAGGATACTACCTTGAGGAACACCAGCAGACTGGGAAAAAAGGGATGAATAGGCGTTATTGTGATTTACTTTAAAGTATCTATCAGTAAGGTAGGAACGGATAATGAGGAAGTATGTAGGTGGTAGGAATTTTCGGAGTTTGTACAGCAGTCCCGGGTGCCAAACTCTATCAAACGCCTGTTCAACGTCGAGAAAGACTCCCGTACAGTACATTCCGCGCTCCAATGCAGAGGAGACTACGTCTACCACACGATGACATTGCTGTATAGTGGAATGGGAAGTTCGGAAACCAAATTGGTGATCTGGGATTATGTGTTTAGAATTTAGGATAGGGTACAGGCGTTTTAAGATGAGTTTTTCTAGGATTTTGCCCATGATGGGTAAAAGAGAGATAGGACGGTAAGAGGATGGGTATTCTGGTGGTTTTTTGGGTTTGTGGATCATTTTAACAATAGATCGTTTCCAAAGATCAGGAAAATATGTAGAACGGAGTACAGCATTATATATATAAGTAAGGAATAGGATGGCTTTTCGAGGAAGAAGTTTTAGGATCTGGGATGTAATTAGGTCATGTCCAGGAGCTTTACGGGAAGGTAATTTTTGAATGATGTTGGATATTTCTATGGGATGAAATGCTTTGGGTGGCAGAGACATTTGGAGAGGAATATCCAGTTCTGCTTCAATACAATTGATGTGAGTTGAATTAAGGATATCGGGATGTGGATTAAAAGTTTGGAAAAGATGTTGTCCAAATAGTTGGGCTTTTTCTTCGTCGGATTTGGACCAGGTTTGGGAATCAGTAAGTAGTGGGTGATTAAAGTCTTGAAACTTAAGAAGTTTTTTGGTGGTCATCCATAATGATTTGTCAGTGGTTGTAAGTTTTTCAGTAAAATTTAGTAAACTTTGAATTTTGTATTTTCTAATTTCTGATTTCAGTTTGTTAGTCAGTTGTGTGTAATGCGATTTATCTGTTGGGTATCTAGTCCTATGCCACTTCGATCTTGCTCTGCGTTTTTCCTGTAATAAGATGCGAATATGCTGTGGCAAGTTAGTATTTTGTGGGAAGTTAATCTTATTGATAAAGGTGTTATTATTTATACTGTCTGTTATTGATGATGTCAGTTTTTCTATGGCACCGTTAATGTCTTCTTTTGTTTTTAGCGGGATTTTGAGGTCTAGTTTGTTTTCCAAATCATCACGAAATTTGTCCCAGTTTACTCGTCCAGTGATCAGTTTAGGAAGTGATGGTTTAGGAGCAAAGTCAGAATGTAGTGAAAGCAGAACTGGACTATGGTCTGAAGAAAGGTCATCCAGGGATTTGATTATAGTTTGGGAGGAGGAAATCTGGGAGGTGATAAATATGTCCAGGAT